CCCCCGGAACTGGGGATTGAACTCAGGCCCTTGCGCTTGCCAGGGAAGCGCTTATTCCACTGAGCCATCTCCTGAGCCCCTATAAGCTAGATATTTTTTAATGCTTCCCTTTGTTATGTGGAGAATATACTACTATAGAGGAGCAAGAATGAAAACAGTTCAGTTTGGAAGCTATTGCAAGCCAACTTTGCTCAACAAATATCTTGAAGTGCTGGTAAGTTAGAAAATGCTTTGCAAGAATAATGCTAGAATCAGTGCACCCAGAAGGGGGACAGAGCAGGGACACAGACATCAGAGCTGCTGTCAGAGACAGCTGACGAGACACGGGTGGTGGTGAGAACACGGGAGTGGAGAACTGGGTGCCGGGTAGGAAGGATTGGAAGTAGGGACTAGGTGCTGGGTAGGAAGGATTGGAAGTAAGGAAGCCAGGATTGGAGAATCCCAGTGAGGACTGGGTCACCTTGTAAATGCCAGCCACTGAGAAGGATAGCGGGATGTGTGTGTGTTGGGGAGTACGGCAGAAGAGAATGACTCAGGAGAAAGACCTCAGCAAATGGAGGAGTAACTGCTCAGTGGATGTGAAAATAAGGAAAAGCGTATGTAGCCAGAAGGCATGAGCTTCAAAGTTGCTGAAGACAAATAGAAAGTCCCAGTTGGGAAGAGGGAGGACTCAACCCCACCTTCTGGCCCTAAGGAATGTGGAGTATGAGACCAAAACCACTCTGCTTGAGAGGACTGAAGGGAAAAGTAGGTCACAATGAAATGAGTTAATATTTGTGAAGCGCTTAAAATTGTGCCTGGCACCTAGTGTCTGCTAAATTTTAATTAAGAGCAAAGGGCATAGGGAACATTAAGAGAAGAGACGGAGGGTATGGTATGGGAGGGTTCGCGCCATACCACATAGATCTTCCTCCACAGCCGCCTTCAGTCCAGTGTCTGTGTGTAGTAAGTCCCGCTTCCCTCAGTGACTAATCCTGTTCCTCACCAATCTCCAGACTCCTCCCTGCAGCCAGTCTTGCCCAGCAGTTGAGGGACCGTTTCTCTGACTACCTCATGCTCCTCCATGTGCACCTCCTTTCCTGCTACCCTCTCTCTGAGGAGGATGTCTCCTCTTCTCCTTCCTGCCAATCCAGGCCACTCCCCCACCTCAGGTCCAAGCCTGCCCCTTTTCTGTTATCTTCCGCCTCTCCTCTCCTGGCTCCTTCTCCATCCACTAACGTGCTCACAACTCCCACAACAAACAGAACTCTGGTCTCTGTCCACCTTGGAGTCATCCAGTCCTTCCCCTTCCCTCACCTTCCCAGGCACCAGTCAGCTTGTATCAGTCAAGACCCTCCCAACTACATTTCTGTAACAGAAGAAAACCCTCCCACTTGCAAACTCAGTGGGCGTTTTCAGTTCTTACTCTGTCTGGGTCCTCAGCCTCTCTCCATCCTCAGGGCTACTCACTCCTTTTGTCTGGATTCATTTTGCTGCCTTGTCACTGTCACTTCTCCTGCCTCTGCCTGTCCTTTCTGCTGTCAGAATTTGCTGGACATTCTCAGTACTGTCCACCCCTTTTCCACTGATCGCATCCTCTCCCTTAGCTATCAAAGCCCCTTCAATGTCAGTGCACCTGTTTCTAACCTGCCTCTCTCCAGCTGACCCCTGTCTCTTCAGCACCTACCCTTGGAAGCCAGGACCCAGTCAAGACTCCTCTGAGCCCCTCTCCATGCCTTACCAGAGAACTCTTCCTGCCTGCTCTACTTCTAATACCCTTCTCATCTCTGTTCCCACTCAGCTCTTCTGCGCTCTTTGCTCAGGTTATTATGACTGTATATGGGTCAAGCACATGCTTTGCTTTCCCTTTAAATCCAGGCTCCATGCGCACTGGCTGTTGCCTTGGACCACTTGCCCCTCTCTGAGCCTGGTAGCATAAAGCAAAAGGCACAGCGCCTGGCACTGTGTGCTTAATGAGCGTAACTGCATGGTGGTGGCCCCCCTTCCTGTGGCTTGTTCCTTTCACATTCTCTCCTCCACACAAGGCAGTGAAGAGGAGTTTGGTAAAACATGGATCCAGCTGGACCGACCTCCGAGGCTCGCTTGCATGCACTGCTGCTGGGATTAACATCTAAGCTCCTTCTTACTCTGTTCCCTGCCTTGGACTTTGTCACCAGACCCATCACACCGCTTCTGTTCTCTAGGCCCTGTGCCAGTTCTTGCTGCCTTCTGTATTGGAACCCCCTCCTCCTTTCCCTGCACTTTCTGTGCTCAGGCTAACAATAGTTGGCTCAGGGAGATTTCATTTACATTGCCTCGAAAGCCCTTTCCAGCTACCTTCTCCCTCACCTGAGCCTGGGGCATCTCTTGCAGTCTTTGTGTTAGTGCTAAGCATGGCAGTGCAGGAGCCTGTCGTGTGTAGCACTTGGGTGAGTCGGGCATTTCACACTTAATCTTCTTACATGTCAGTAGTCCTTTACATGTAATCCTCTGACAACCCTGTGGAGTCTGCCCTGTCTCCATCTGACAAAGGACAAACTCTTGACTCATAAAAGTGACTTGTGAGGGTCACAGTCTAAAAGCTCACTGCTAAGAGTTGAACCCAGGTGGCTCAGCTCCAGGACTCAGGCTTTTTTTTTTTTTTTTTTGATCTTGATGCAGTCCAGGCTGGCCTTCAACTCATTATGTAGCCCACACTGGCCTCAAACTCAAAGCTATCCTCTTGCCTCAGCCTCCTGAGGCCTGGGATTACAAGCATGCACCATATGTGGCTAGGACCCAGGCTCTATTTTTTTTTTTTTTTCTGTATTTTTAGGGAAGGGTCTACAGGGTGTTCAGGGTCTCACTACTAGATTGGATTTATAGTGATTCTCCTGTTTACAGCCTCCCAAGGGCTGGGATTACAGGTGTGCACCACCATGCCCAGTCTCATTTGCCATCTCAGCATGCCCTGGGAGTGGGAGCGGCACAGCAAGCCTGGGAATCAAACCCTCGGCCCCTGCACCTGTTTGCAGGTGCTTTAATCCACTGAGCTATTTGGCTGGCCCTCTGGGCTCTTGATCATTACAACATTTTTTTTTTTTTGCGGAACCGGGGATTGAACTCAGACCCTTGTGCTTGTCAGGCAAGCACTTATTCTACTGAGCCATCTCCCTGGCCCCCATTACAGCATTTTTTAAAAAAATTATCTCTTTCTGTGATGTTTTCTGTGAAAACTAGAACTATTTTAAGAGCACTCACTATGGGTTTTTTTTTTGTTGTTGTTGTTGTTTTGTTTTTTGGTGGAACAGGGGATTGAACTCAGGCCCTCGCACTTGCCAGGGAAGCACTTATTCTACTGAGTCATCTCCCCGGCCCCTTTTGGTTGTTTTTGATACAAGCTCTCACTATATTGTTCAGTTTGGTCTTCAACTCACTGTAAAGCCCGGGCTGGCAGCACTTTTCCTGCCTCAGCCTCCTGCATCCTGGGACAATAGGCCTGTGCCATCACACCCAGCAGTCACTGTGCTTTATCTTTTTCTCCCTAGAGCTTGGCACAAATTTGGCAAGAGGAGGCAGTCAGTAAATATTTAATGAGTTAAAGGAGGATGTTGTACCTTTTCTTTCTTTTTCTTCTTTTTTTTTTATATATTTGGTACAGCTTGGACTCCTAGTGATCCTCCTGTTTTCAGCCTCCCCAGTGCTGGGGTCACAGGCATATATCACCAAACCCAGACTCTGTAGCCAGTGTGCCCAGGGGTGGGACCAGCATGGCATATGGGACCAGGGATCAAACTCTGGTCCCAGTGCCTGCCTAAGCAGGCACTTAGTCCACTGAACTATCTTGCCAGCCTTTCTTTTTTTTTTTTTTGCAGAACCAGATTGAACTCAGGCCCTTGCACTTGCCAGGGAAGCACTTACTCCATTGAGCCATCTCCGCAGCCCCCTTCTTTTCTTTTTTTGAGACAGGTTCCCTTTCATGTAGTTCAGGTAGGCCGTTCCTCACTATGTTGCTCAGGCTGGCCTGGTACTTACAGTGATCCTCCTGCTTAAGCCTTGTAAGTGCTGGGATTACAGGTGTGCACCACCACACTTGGCTAGTTGCACAAGTTCTTGAGGTTTTCATAGGCACCCATGTAAGGCAAACGTGTTTGTGCATGTCACAAGAATGGCAGATGTGGAGAGAGGCCTGGCTTTCTACTCTTTACACATCTACTGGGAGGTGAGGGGTCAGTGTCAAGCAGAGAGGTTCAGAGGAAAGCCTCACGGTGCACCTGTGAAAGGGTGTCTACACCTGTTGGTGTAGGGAGAGTATTGCTACTGCTCCATCCCTTCTTGCTGTGACTCCTCCTCTCTGGCCAGATGCCTCCAGAACTACATCCCTGCCCAGAGCCTGACGCTGTCCTGTCCAGTGTGTCGGCAGACGTCCATCCTTCCCGAGCAGGGTGTCTCAGCGCTGCAGAACAACTTCTTCATCAGCAGCCTCATGGAGGCCATGCAGCAGGCACCCGATGGGGCCCACGACCCTGAGGACCCTCACCCCCTCAGTGCAGTGGCTGGCCGCCCTCTCTCCTGCCCCAACCATGAAGGCAAGGTGGGCCCAAGCGAGGCCCAGTGAGGCCAGGGCTTGGGGTGGGAGGAGGAGGAGGGGCGGCGCTGGTGGGCCGAGTGGCTGGGGAGAGAGGTGTTTCTCTGGATGAGTGGTGCAGGTAGGGGTGCACTTGGAAGGTGAGGACAGGGTGGGCAGAGGGGCAGGGGCAGAGAAGGGGAGAGTCTGGCTGTTGCCTCATGGGAGTCCTTGTACCGCCAGACGATGGAGTTTTACTGTGAGGCCTGTGAGACTGCCATGTGTGGTGAGTGCCGTGCAGGAGAGCACCGGGAGCATGGCACGGTGCTGCTGCGGGACGTGGTGGAGCAGCACAAGGCGGCCCTGCAGCGCCAGCTCGAGGCGGTGCGCGGCAGGTAGGCACGGGGAGGCCCTGGCAGGGAGGGCAGGGACCTGTGGAGGGAGAGAGAAGTTGGGAAGGGCAGAACTGCAAATCTTCAAGGAATTTAGGTAGGAGAATCTCCTGGAGGGCAGCAGGCAGGGTCCCCGGGAGAAAAGGGTGCTTTACCTTGGCCTGAGATGCTTCCTTTCCCAGGCTGCCGCAGCTCTCTGCAGCCATCGCCCTCGTGGGGGGCATCAGCCAGCAGCTGCAGGAGCGCAAGGCAGAGGCCCTGGCCCAGATCAGCGCAGCCTTCGAGGACCTGGAGCAAGCGCTCCAGCAGCGCAAGCAGGCTCTGGTCAGCGACTTGGAGAACATTTGTGGGGCCAAACAGAAGGTGAGCTTGCTCACCTGGCTGCCCCAGCCTCTTTCTGCCGCTGACGTGGCCCCTGGGAGCCACTGGCATTCATATCCTTGTCCATACCCCATTTCATCCTTACGTTTCTTCTGTGCCCTGCAGTATCGCATCCTGTAAGCTCCTCTGCCATCCCAGAGACTCTGTGGGTGCCAGTGCCGCCACCCACCCACCCACCCACCTGCCTCCACTCCACAGGTGCTGCAGTCCCAGTTAGACACATTGCGCCAGGGACAGGAACACATCGGCAGCAGCTGCAGCTTCGCAGAGCAAGCACTGCGCCTGGGCTCCGCCCCAGAGGTACTGCTGGTGCGGAAGCACATGCGAGAGAGGCTGGCGGCCCTGGCGGCCCAGGCTTTCCCTGAACGGCCGCATGAGAATGCACAGCTGGAACTGGTCCTTGAGGTGGATGGGCTGCGGCGGTCGGTGCTCAATTTGGGTGCGCTTCTTACCACCAGCGCCACTGCACACGAGACGGTGGCTACAGGTGAGGGCCTGCGCCAGGCACTGGTGGGCCAGCCCGCCTCGCTCACGGTCACTACCAAAGACAAGGACGGACGGCTGGTGCGCACTGGCAGTGCCGAACTACGCGCCGAGATCACTGGCCCGGACGGTGCGCACCTCCCGGTGCCGGTCGTGGACCACAAGAACGGCACCTACGAGCTGGTGTATACGGCACGCACGGAGGGCGAGCTGCTCCTCTCAGTGCTCCTCTACGGACAGCCGGTGCGGGGCAGCCCCTTCCGGGTCCGGGCCCTGCGCCCCGGGGACCTACCACCTTCACCAGACGACGTGAAGCGTCGCGTCAAGTCCCCAGGCGGCCCCGGTAGCCACGTGCGCCAGAAGGCTGTGCGCAGGCCTAGCTCCATGTACAGCACCGGTGGCAAACGGAAGGACAACCCCATTGAAGATGAGCTCGTCTTCCGAGTTGGTACAGATGGCGGAGGGTGGAGCCAGACGGGTGGGCTGAGGCAGTGGGTGGGGCAGGGAGGTGTGGGAGCTTCCAAAGACTTGAATGAGTTCTCTTTTTCCTCCCATCCTTTCCCCACAGGCAGTCGTGGAAGGGAGAAGGGTGAATTCACCAATTTGCAAGGGGTGTCTGCAGCTAGCAGTGGCCGTATAGTGGTAGCAGACAGCAACAACCAGTGTATCCAGGTGAGCACATTCACACAACTCTCGCAACCAAAAAGTGAAACCTGAAAGATACACCCCTCCAGATAGTGCCAGTCCTTACAGAGCAGCCAGCCAAAACGCCCCGCACCTCCACAGGAGGCCCAGCACCCAGGACCTTCGGGCAGGAGCCAGGGGCTCTTGCCAGCGCAGCCTGTGCCTCCCATGCTTCCCCCCTCCACACACACACCCGGGTCAGCAGCTTTCTTCCTTTCCGTCTCCTCGTGCCTCTCATGGGCTGGCTTGTTCTCTCTTCTTTTGTCTTAGTGGTCAGGGTGTGGGCCCGGCCTCTGCTGCTATCTTCCAGCATACCAGCCTGGCTCCAGCATGTACGTTATCTGTCTGGAGGCTCCACAGTCATCTGGTTGTTTAGCCAGTTAAATAGGACCAAAGAGGATGGCTTTCAGTGGCCTAAAGGTGTGGTGTAACTTGCGGTCCTCCCCTGCCTCTCTTTGAGCTTCACACATCTGCTTCAGGCTTCTGCACAGAGTGGCAGAGGTCTCTACAGGCTTCAGGCTTCTGCACAGAGTGGCAGAGGTCTCTACAGGCTTCAAGCTTTTGCACAGAGTGGCAGAAGTCTCTGCTGCCCTGTGAACTTTTTTCTTTTTTGTGATATGAGGATCAAAGCTAGGGCCTTTGTCACTAAGCCACATCCTTAGACTTTATAACTTTTAAAAAATTTGCCAAGTTTCCCCAGCTAGACTGAAACATGTGGTCCTTCTTCCTCAGCCTCCCATGTAGCTGGGTCTTCAGGTGTGTGTCACGGTGCCTTGCATTACAAACACAGGGTGTTTGTTTATTTTGGCAGTACTGGGAGTTGAACCAAGGGCCTTGAGTATGCTAGAGCATGCTACTTTTCCAGCAAGTACAGTGCCTTTTTAAAAGCCTAGAAACATGGGTTTTTCTCTGCTCCTTGTAGTGGGCCCAGAGCCCAGTACAGTTAGCCTTCATACTGTAGACAGTGTAGCAGTTACAAGCTGAGGCTCTGAAACCAGACACCTGGGCTTGACTCCTGGCTCTGCCATGTACTAACACGTCATGTGACCTCTCTGAACTGTAGTTAACTCTTGTGTAAAATTAGGGAAAGCATACCTCAGGGTGGCCGGGAGTGTTAAGTGATGCAATGCACTATACCTGACACCTGCTGGATTGTCTCATATTAGCTATTGTTAAAAGCATAATTGTCCAGGTGGAGGCTTCGAACAAAAGCAAGGAAGTGGAAAAGTGCTAGCCACTGCTGTTTAGAGACCTAAGAGAATCCTAGGGTTGTAGGCAGCTTACTGTTGGGAACTGGGTGTGGCTGAGGTCAGATTGTAAGCAGTTTGATTTTATATTGTAGAGTATTGTTTGTAACTACTGTGTACTTCAGTTCTTGGAAACATTTTACTGGGTAGCACACCTTGCCCCGGAGGATGCTTTTCTTGCCACACCTATGCATTTCAGCTTCCTGGCCCTACCTGGCCTGGCCCTCTACCCAGCTCTGCTCAGGTCTCTTTCCTCAGTGCTAGCTCCTTTCTGATCCCCTTTCTACCTAGCAGGCTGAAGGTGCCAAGGGCTCTTCCATGACCAGATGCCCAGTGCTGCCTACCCCCAATTCCTGCCCTGTAGCCAGTAGAAAGGGCAGTAGCACAGGGAGGCCTTTGGCTCATCCCAGCTGGTGGGGTGAGGATGTGGGGCTGGGAACAGGACTGGTGCCAGGGCTGCATGATGTAACCTACCCGGCCCCTCTCCTTCACCCTGGGCTGGAAATGCTTCCTGGTATAAAAGCGGGGATGCAGGACACCTTTCCTGTTGCGCACTCACTTGAGTGTTCACATGCACAGAACTGCTGCTGTTAGCTGCGCACGTGGTGAGCACTTGCAGCATGCTGGAGGGCCGAGGGAGAAGGATCACCAGTTCAAGCACAGCTTGGGCAACGTGGAGACTCCGTGAGACCCTGTCTCAAAATAATTGTTTTGTGTTAAAGAGCGACGGGGGTGTAGCTCAGTGTGAAGACCCTGGGTGCAATGCCCAGTACTTCATACAAAGCCCAGAGAGGAGAGGAAAAGAAGAGGGGACAGGGAAGAGATGCAGAGACAGACCCTAGTGAGAGGCTTTGTCTTAGAGTGGGCTGTTGAGTGGGAAGGCCAGGCGTAACCCTGTCTCTCTTCCACACACCTGCTATTCCTTCAGCACTCCTCTTCACTGCTACTCCCACTCCACCCAGGCCTACTGACTGCTAGGAGCCTGGCTTTTGGGCCCCCGTGCCAAGTACCAGCTTCTCTAACTCAGGTCCACAGGGGTGGTGTGGGCCGGGCTCCCAGGTGGGGCTGAGCCTGCCCCCTTGCCGTAGTTCGCGAGGGCTGGGGTCCTTGGAAACTTTTCTTCCTTTAGATGCTTCTGTTGTGAAGAGTGAGGCAAAGGCCTTCACAGAGAAGACCCACACTAATAGAGGACAAAAACTTCATAGTTTTGAATGAAGAATTTGATTTGTATATTTCTTTGTCTCATTGTCTTAGTCCAAAAATTTTATCAACTCTTTGAGATGGAGTCTCACTGTGCATTTCAGGCTGGCCTTGAACTAACTTTGTAGCCCAGACTGGCCTGAAATTCTCAGTGAGGCTCCTGCCTCAGCTTCCCCAGGGCAGGGATTACAGGCCTGTGCCACCACACCGGCTATCAGGCCTTTGTGTCCCCATTACTTTTATTTTTTATTTTTTTTTATTTTGGTGGAACTGGGGCTTGAACTCAGGCCCTTGCGCTTGCCAGGGAAGTGCTTATTCCACTGAGCCATCTCCCCAACCCCACCCATTACTTTTAGGTAAAATGTTAATCCTGTTCTTTTCTGACCTCCCTCAGCTTTTTGCTATAGCAGTTCATATTTTACTGAAATGATTGGATTTTTTGTTGTCTCCTTGTTTTTTTACTTGTGTGATTTGATGTTTTGTTTTAGTTACTCTCCCCACAAAGACCCCAGACATCAAGGATGTACTCTTAATTACTCCCATAGAATAACAAAGAAATGTTAAGGATCAAGCTAAGACATCAGCAGGTTGTAGAAATACTCAGGGAGCAAATATAGCAGATTTTCATGAGCTTTCAGGTGTGGGGGAGGGTGGGGGTGGATCAAGAATGGCGCGACTGGGGGCCCATCCATTAGCATAGTTGTTTAGGTGCCTGTTTAAGAAAGCAGTGAGGCTCAGGTTGCACTGGTTGAACCCAGATACTCCCGCCAACCCAGAAATGCCCTGAAGGCATGTTCAGGCCCCCCCCCCAAAAAAAAAGAATGGCGAATGGCGGGACTTGGTGGGCTGGGAGTGTTGAGTTCAAACACATCCCCTCCCCTGTGAATGAGTTCACTTTTACACATTTTAGTCTGAGATAGTGGTGGAGAATTCAGGGAAGATGTCCAGTTCACGTCCAGGTCTGAGTTAGGGAATTCATTTATTTGCTGACTACTATGTTCCAGAAGCTATATCAGTACTGAAAATGCAAAAGCAAACAAACCAGATGCCGTCACCACTCCATGCAGGGCATTCGTAGAAGAGACACAGACATTTAAGTTATTTAGTCACAAAGTGACAGCTCTTCCGAACTGAGGCACAAGCATCTAACTTTATGTGTAGGTGTTGTCTCAAGAGTGGGAGTGTCTTCAGGTGTGAAGAAATGACCTGGAAATTCTGAGAACATAAAGGTGATGGCAGGCCTGGTCGCACTCACCTTGATGTGCCAGCACTTAGGAAGCTGAGACAGGAGGATGTAGACGGAGCTTGAGGCCATCTTGGGCTACACAGTGAGACCTTGTCTCGGAAAACCCATAAACAATAATGAGTGGGAGTTGGCCAGGCACAAGGGTGGTGAGCAGCAGGAGGAAAAGAACAAGCCCTCCCGTAGCCTCCGCAGTGTTGAACCTGACTCTGAGCCGCCCAGTCTGAGTCCTACTCAGACAAATGTGCTACCTCATTGCTGACCTGGTAGTTCCTCTTGGCCTGCCTCAGTTTTATTCTTCAGCCTGTGATACCTCAGTTTTCACATTGCTCAGTGCTGTCCTGACACAGAGGACCAGAGCAGAGCCCAGGAGCTGCCTGGTTGAGGAGCTGGGCCTTTGCTGGAAGGTGTCTGCCTGAGGAAGCAGTGGTGTCTGTCGGTGGGGCCAGTTTCAACAGCTGCAAAAGCTTAAGGCATGGGCGTGAGGCTGGGACAGGGAGCTCAGCCCACCAAGGACAGGGCAGGTCTGGATCAAGGACTGGGGCCAAGACTGAGGCGCAGAACTTCAGTTCTCCAAGGTGGCTCCTGACTCATGTTCCTGGAGCAGAGTTCAGGAGAATTGTCCAGTGAGTAGTTTTGGCTGTGAAGAAGCTAGAAGTCTTTTTTTTTTTTTTTTTTTTTTTTTTAACGAGAAGCAGACTTGAAGGTGGTTTTAGGATGGAGAAAGCTGAGCATGTTGGGTAACTAAGGCAGAAGAGTAGCAAGGGAGAGGTTAAAAGCTTTACCCTGCCCAGGTGGAAGATTGTCTTGGCGGCCTTGTAGGCTGAGAGCCTTGTGTACTTTCTCCTTCCACACTTGGCCCTTGTGGTCTGCTGCGGAGTCTTAAAGAGTCTTCCCCCTGTGTATCTCTGTCCCATCACCTCCCCTCCAGCCTGTTTCCTTGGTGCTAGCTGTCAGCATTTCTCACCTGGACTCCAGCACCAGTCTCTGCCTCTTGGCTGGCTTCCAGTCCTGATTCCTCCCTGCAGCCACAGTGCTTTCAGATCATAGCACTAATCTGATCTTGTCCTTCTCTGCCCAGAGATTTTCAGTGACTCCTCATTATGCCCAGGAGGGAACCCAACTCCTGTTGGTCACCTAGGCCCTTGAGCACTGTCCATGCCAGGCTCTGTGCCTTTCAGTCTGTACTCTGCTTCCTCCTCCTCTTTGGGCTGACCAGGGCTTACCATCAGCATCCTCATTAGACTGTTAGTTCCGATGTCCCTTTCTCTGGGTGCTTGTCCTCATTGCTCCCTCCTACCCCTTCTTGTGCTCCTAGTCTCCTTGGTATCTCTGCTGCATGTTCTCTAAGGTCTGCTTCCACATTTGATTCCTCTGTGCCCCCGGCAGTATACCAGTGAGTGCTGGTTGAATGAGTGAATCGTTGGGTGGGGTCTCTTCCCTTGGACTTGCTCCCTTCCCTGTGTGCCCATAGTGTTTCCCCTCCCCCTGCTCCTTCCCTTGTTCCTCTGCTCCAGGTTTTCTCCAATGAGGGCCAGTTCAAGTTCCGTTTTGGGGTCCGAGGGCGCTCACCTGGGCAGCTGCAGCGCCCCACAGGCGTCGCAGTGGACACCAATGGAGACATTATTGTGGCGGACTACGACAACCGTTGGGTCAGCATCTTCTCCCCCGAGGGCAAGTTCAAGGTGAGAGGCTGCTGTTGCTGCCCTGTGTACCCTACTGAGCTGTTGTTGACCATGGTAGTGCCTCCTGGTGGTCAGTACCCTAAGGGGTCCAATTCTGCCTTATCCTGCCCAGTGCTAGGCTTCAGTATCAGGCCAGGACTGCATTCCCCCCAGTCAGGATAAAGTCCCTTCTGGTATCCCCTTCCTGCAGACCAAGATCGGAGCTGGCCGCCTCATGGGGCCCAAGGGAGTGGCCGTGGACCGGAATGGACATATCATTGTGGTCGACAACAAATCCTGCTGCGTCTTCACCTTCCAGCCCAATGGCAAGCTGGTTGGACGCTTTGGGGGCCGTGGGGCCACTGATCGACACTTTGCAGGTAGGAGAGGACAAATAAATCCAAGATCATTTCTGATATCCCAGTCCCAGAGAACTCCCTGGGATACCCTTACTCTAGAAACCCTTTCTATACCTTGACCCTAGAGATCTTCCTTTTTTGCTACTTGCTTTTTTTTTTTTTTTTTTTTAAGCCAGGGTCTCACTGTGCAGTTCAGGTTGGCCTTATGCTCACTTTGTATCCCAGGCTGGTCTCAAACTTGAAACGATCGTCTTGCCTCAGCCTCCTGAGTGCTGGGATTATAAGCCTGCATGCCTGGCTGCTCTTCGTTTTTCAGTATCCTTGTTTCATCATCCCAGAGACAGCGTATCTTCGCCGCAGTGACCCTAGTTCTGCCCTAACACCCTAGCTTTACATTCTAGATACCCTTCCCTCACCCTCCAGGTACCTCAGCTTAATGCCCTGAAGACCACTTTCTACTTTTAGGGCCCCATTTTGTGGCTGTGAATAACAAGAATGAGATTGTAGTAACGGATTTCCATAACCATTCGGTGAAGGTCAGTGTCTTCCTTATCCCATGACTACTGCCCCGCTTCCTTTCTGCTTCCACAAGTCTCCTTTCTCCCCCTTGAAATCACTCCTTGAACAAGCAAGCATTTGTGTCATGGCTACTGTATCCCAGGCACGGGCTAGAGGCAGGAATACCCTGGTTCGCAGAGCAGACACAGTCCCTGTCATCTTGGTTATAGTCTAGTAGGGAAGAGAAGAAAAGTAACTAGATGAAAATAAGGAGGTGATAGATTCTGTGATGGGGAGGTGCAAGGAACTGTGGGAGGACAGCGCAGAAGCGTTTGATTCAGGGGAAGGCATGAAGCTGAAGTGGGAATTACCCAGAAGGTAAAGGAGGAGGAGAGGGAAGCGAGGATGCAGGATCCAGCAGTAGCGGGTGGACACCCTTATGGCATATTCTAGAAACCAAATGTAGCCATGAATGGTGGCACATGCCTGTAAGCGCAGCACTGTGGAAGTTGAGCAGGAGGACAGAAAGTTCAAGCCCAGCCTGTGCAACTTTTGAGACCCTCTCTCAAAAGGAAAGGCTGAGGATATGGCTCAGTGCAAATGTCCTGGGTTCGCTCCCCGGTAAACCTTGCCTCCAGCAAACCAGCCAGTAATTCAAAATGGTTTTGAGGGGATTGGTGCGAAGTGGGGCTGAGGCTTGCTACCATGCTAAGAGACTTGCTGAGTTCCCAGAAGCTATGGAAAGCCTTGAAGATTTTCAGACAGGGAGAGAGTGATACAATCCTGTGTATCTTAAGGAAGATTACTGGCTTGGGTAAGACTAGAGGCAGGAAGATCAATCTTTTGCTGTGTCTTTAGACGAGAAATGATAATACTGGGTATGGTGCCACGCACCTGTAATCCCAGTACTTGGGAGGCTGAGGCAGAAGGACCGTCATGAGTTTGAGGCCAGCCTGGACTACAGAGTGAGTCTAAGGCCAACCCGAACTGCATAATGAGACCCTGTCTGAACAACAACAAAATGGGAACCTGGGTCATGATAAAGCTGTGGAGGCATAGCAGTGTCTACCTAGGGTAGATCTCTGAGGGGGATTCGAGAAATAATCAGCATTTGCATTGATTGGTTGGCTGTCAAAGCAGAGAAGGTGGAATGAAGAATGTCTTATATTTGGTGGTGTTAGGACAAACAGGAAAAGAAGCAGAGTTCTGAGCTCAACAGGACGGTCTTGTTTCAGAACAAACCTGAGGGGGACACTTCTGGCTTTAGAGACCAAGCCATCAACCTTCATCAGGCTGTTGGGTCTTTTGTAGGATCATGAGCATAGAAAGGGGGGCTGTGGAAGGCAAAGGTCACAGTGGGATTTTAGGGGGAGAGTTCAGCACAAAGGAGTTGTGGTTAGCTGCCCCAGAAGCAGGCTTGAGGACTATCAAGGAGTTCTGTGTTTTGTCAAGAGCAGGGCTGAACAATGGAATTGTAGGGCGTAGCTGAGCTTGTGCTGCGCTCACTGGGCCTCATCGACCCATGACAGTACCTCTGTGCAGGTGTAAAAGCAGAGCCCGGGGAAGGGATCTAAAGTGGCCTCAGCCTAGACCAAGATGGCAATGGTTGGTTTCTTCAGGTGGTACTAGTTACTGAGATAGAGCACTTGGAGCAGCTGCTTTCCCCAGGAAGCTGTGCTGTGCCTTGGAGACGTCACCTAATACGTCCAAGAGGCAGCAGGGTTCCTGGATGTGAAGCCTGGGAGCAAGGTCAGGGCCGCGGTTGCAGATGCAGGGGTCCTTGTTCCTAGACTTCCACCCCATCTCCCTCCAAGGGTCTGCCCCTTCCCTGAGGCCAGGTGCCCAGTCCCCAGCCCTTCCCCCACCAGGTGTACAACGCCGATGGAGAGTTCCTCTTCAAGTTTGGCTCCCATGGAGAGGGCAATGGCCAGTTCAACGCCCCTACAGGAGTAGCTGTGGACTCCAATGGGAACATCATCGTGGCTGACTGGGGCAACAGCCGCATCCAGGTGAGCCGTCCTGGATGGCTGGGAGTGAGGTGTGTGCTGTACCTCTCCCCCAGCAGCCTCTCATATGCCTGACCTGGTCTCTTCCTCCACGTTCCACCCCTTTCCCAGGTGTTCGACAGCTCTGGCTCCTTCCTGTCCTATATCAACACATCTGCAGAGCCACTGTACGGCCCCCAGGGCTTGGCACTGACCTCCGATGGCCACGTGGTGGTGGCTGATGCTGGCAACCACTGCTTTAAGGCCTATCGCTACCTCCAGTAGCTGCAGGGGCCCCGCCTGGCTCATGGAGGGATGGACACAGGGGTGATTGGACAAGAGGGTCTGGCTGGGAGGTGGGCCAGACCTGGCAGCACTGAATGTGGGCTGTGGGCGTGGGTACGCCCGGTGCCCTCCCCTTCCTCCCCTGACCCCACGGTTGCACTTTATTTATTCGGTTCTTGCTTTGGTGACTGGGTGAGCCTGAACTGTGGTCCCAAGGATGTGTGCAGAGCTTCACCCTCCCCCACACACGTCCCCTCCACCCCAGTCTGCTCTTCACCCCCAGCCCGGGGCCAGAACAGCCTCTACTCCAGGATAGCAGCCCCTGTGGTCTCTCCCTACCAACCCCTCACACTGACAGACAGCAATACCCCGCCCCACCCCCATATTAAATAAATGTCTTCGCCAAGATGTTTTTGGCTGGGTTCTTGTGAGGTGGGGCTGTGGGTGTTCCTTAGGACTTGCTCCCTGCGGGAGGTGGGTGAACAGGCACACAGGGAGCCTAGCTTTGCCAATGGGTCCTATGTTTTGAAACTTTAGGTGAGGAGAGCAAGAAAGTGAGCCCCTGGGCCCCTGAACACAAATTCCCATGCCCAGGCTTTGCATTTCTGCATCTCTGAGAGGAGCAGGCAAGGCTTTTGCTCTCTGTCCTGGATTTGAGCAGGAGCACGGGGGCCGGGATACCTAGCACAGCCAGGGTGGGAGCTGAATCACTGATGCTCAAGCCTGGGTTATAAGGACTGGCGGCCATGCCAGGTAGAAAGGGCGTGGGAGGCCCAGGACTGACTCTGATGCTAACCAGAGTTGGGATCCATAGCTTGCTCTCTGTCCTAAGGTTGCAGCCCTTGGTCCACAGTGAAGGATGATCCTTGTGCCCCCTCCTGAGCTGGAATCTGTCTTAGTTTGGCTGCCATTTCTAGAGGTAATGAAAACCAGATTCAGTGACCTGGAAGATAGGGAGATAGTGATTCTGCTTTCTTCGTCCCTACAAAAGCCAGAAGCTCACAGAAATGGTTCATATTGCTGATGAAGAGCAGAGCCCAGGATTGAGCCTGTGGCTGTCATGTTCCTCAGTGGTAAGTTGTAGCATCTTGCTTACCCTTGTGGCCCTTGCTCTGGCAGAGAAAGCACTCAGGGTCCACTGGGCAGTGATGGGTCTGGGGAGGCTGACATGATCAAGACCCTGCCGAGACAGCACAGTTCCTGGGCTCAGGTTAGGAGGGGCTGCCTGCAGACCTGTGGAAGAACCTGGCAGCTTTGCGGAGGTCAAGAGCCACTCCTCAGACCATAAGGCAGCCTTGGTTATGTTTATCTTTCTTGCCCTCTCTGATTTACACCTGGTAGCCAAGTGGGGAGATAGATTTCTGGAAGTCTTTAGGAGAAGTATTGTAGGGCTTATTCTGGCTCTGTTGATGAGCAGAATTGCCTGAGCCCACATCCTGGCCAGAAGAGGAAGCGTGTTCTGTTGTCAGTCCCTCAGTACCAGCGGATCTCCCCAGAAAGCTCTCAGGTGATGGTCTTACCCCCCCACCCCCACAGGTATCTTACCCCCTACCCCGACATCTTTAAGCTGCTCCTTTGCAAGACTGGATCCTTGAAAATCATCAGTGGTCTTCCAGTCCTAGGAGTGTAACGTGCGCAAATGGTTGGGCACGTGCACGAAGAAGTGTGCGCGTCAGTGTTTATCAGAGCTTGCTTTTCCATCCTTTTTTCTTCTCTCTTTTTCCTCCTTTTCCCTTCCTCTTCCCTCCTTGTTCCCTCCCTCCTCCTCCTCCTCCTCTTCCTCCTCTTCCTCTTCTTCTTCCTCTTCTTCCTCCTCTTCCTCCTCTTCTTCCTCCTCTTCTTCCTCTTCCTCTTCCTCTTCTTCCTCTTCCTCCTCCTCCTCTTCCTCTCTTTCTTTCTTTCTTTCTTTCTTTCTTTCTTTCTTTCTTTCTCTCTTTTCTTCTTCTTCTTCTTC